TCGTTTAGCCAATAAACTGTGTCAGGATAACATTTTGTGATCACTTGCCGAAGGCCCTAGTAGCCAGCGCTTATCCTTAGTGGATTGAGAGAGAACAGACGACACTTCGTCAGTATTTTGCTGCTGGATAGCTTTTTTTGCAGTAAGAGTTTCTATTTAGATTTTGAAGCCATAGCCTCTTTACCAAATTTTTTAAGTAATAGTGATTTACAAATCGTTGTTATCAATGAAATAAAAAAAGCGTAGTAAAAATATGATATGGCGTAGTGGGGTAGTAAATTTTAAAATTTTTGAAAAATCGTAGCAAATTACTACGAACGCTGATGTTTGGTTGTCTCAGAGGCAGAGTAGATTCTTGTGCCTCTGAACTATATAAAGGGTCGCATCTCTCAGCACTGGAAAGAAATAGCTAATCGTGGAAAGACCTACAATCCTGTGTGTGCACTACTTTTGTTATCAAACTAAACAGGAGGGATCTATCTCGACTAACTGCCGTTTACACAGGACATTAGGCCGTGGAAATCCACGCTGCAAGACAAGGATTGGAACACAACACTTCTTGTCGTAGCTGTAATTAAACATATGCAGAAGAAACGGTGGAGCATCTCCTCTGCGATTGTACGGAACAATGTAGATCAGAATTCACATGCTGGATTTGATATAAATAACCGACTTCTGTTCCTTTCTTTTCAGGTAAAATGACGAGTAGTGGTTTAGCACGCATAAGTGCTAATAGGAGTTGTTGAACTCGCCACTTCAACCAACCAACCACGTATGTCAAGCGGTGCAAGTCAAAAGAAGTCAGTATATTAATTCTTTAAAAACTCTATAAATTCCGCAAAACCGATTTTCTGTAAATAACTTTTTAAATCATTTTCATCAAAAAACATACATATATACAGAAAAAAGTTTAGTTTAGTATAAGAAAAATGCAAACATTTGAATATTTTCTACATCAGAGTACACAAGTATTACGCCAACAAATCGAATTGTAAACACACGGTTTAAAGCAAATTTCTTAGTACAGTATTCCCCGCTTATTTGTCCCCCGGTTAATTGATTTCCCCGCTTATTTGAATTACTTAAAAGTATTGCATAAAAAATCCATACAAATATGCCCGCATAATTGGCCCGGCTAATTGGTTTCCCCGTATAATTAGTTAAAAACATGTTGCAATTAAAAGAGATATACCTTAAATTATCTCCGGTTAATTGTGCCTTACGTTTATTTTTTTTATACCCGAGCGCACTTGTGCACAAGGGTATATTAATTTTGTTCACATAACGGTTGTTTGTAACAGCCAAAACGAATCGAGATACATATAGACAAATGTATACATAAATTATCAGGATGAAAAAAGAAATCGATTAAGCCATGTCTGTCTGTCCGTCCGTCTGTCCGTCTGTCCGTGTACACGATAACTCGAGCAAAAATTGAGATATCTCAACAAAATTTGGTATGTAGGTTTCCCTTAATCCAAGGTAGGTTGGTATTGAAAATGGGCGAAATCGGATATAACGGTAATTTCCAGAAATACGAAAACTGCGATATTTTAGTAACTACTGAAGATAATTCACTCAAAATTGATATTTACAATAATTTTTAGACGAAAAATAAGAATATTATAAATTTTTGGAAAATGGGCGTAGCCACGCCCACTTATGGTTACATGTGTATATCTTGGTAACCGCTGCACCAATTTCTTCCAAACTTGGCACAGTTGTTGGCCTTCGCATAACATACCAAATGGCCGAAAATTTTTAAAATCGCTCAATAACCACGCCTACTTCCCATATAACGGTAATTTTCAGAAATACGAAAACTGCGACATTTTAGTAACTACTGGAGATTATTCACTCAAAATTGATATTTATAATAAGTTTTAGACGAAAAATAGAAATATTATAAATTTTTGGAAAATGGGCGTAGCCACGCCCACTTATGGTTACATGTGTATATCTTGGTAACCGCTGCACCAATTTCTTCCAAACTTGGCACAGTTGTTGGCCTTGGTACAGCATAAAAAACCGCCGAAACTTTTTAAAATCGGACAATAACCACGCCCACATCCCATATAACGGTAATTTAGAGAAATACAAAATCTTCAATAAATCATTAAGTATTGAAGCTAATTTATTCAAAACTGATGCTTGCAACAATTCTTTACCAAGAAATACGTTTATGGTAAAATTTTGGAAAATGGGCGTGGCACCGCCCACTTATGATCACATATAAGTATATCGGTAACCGTTCTACCAATTTGTACCATATTCGGTATGGTTATTGTACTTGCCACGTGTAAGCAAAACGTTGAAAATTATTGAAATCGGACTAAAATAACGGCCGATTCTCATATAACGGTA